TTTAAATCTTAGATTGAAATGTTATGCGTGTTATTTTCGCGATAAATTTCGCGAAAAATTCAATCGTTATTTTTAAGATTTATAGAAGAGTTAAAAAATTGAAAGATATCAAATGGGATATTTATTCCGACGACGTTTTATTTTTTATTATATAAAGTAAATTTTGTTACGTTAAAATATGAATCGTTGTTAATATTCGTATATAATTTTTCAATTGTTGTTTCGATCGATTAAATTTTGTTACGTTATACGAAAAAAAATATATATGTATGCTTGATTGTTTTAAAATGAATTTATTCCATCCATATTACGTATTCGAAAACATCAATGTTTATCAAAAATCCTTGACCGATTATTTATCGTGTTGAAGCGCAAAGGAACGAAATGTTTAAACGAATGAATGAAATGAACGATGAATGAAAACGTTAGAAATGTAGGAAGTAATAAAAATAATATAAAATTCGATAATTAATTCGACACACGAAATAATCGACGAAGATGAAATATGATTGGAGTGGAAAACGTCGTTAAAAAGTTGATGGTTGATTTTGATAAACGAGATTTAAAATCTTAAATTAGATTGATTAGAGAGATTCGTTTGAGTTCTCCGCCCATAAATATATAATATTTTGTTTATTTAGATATAGATAAAGATATAATTACGTGAAAAATTACGATACCAGCGAGGAATTCCTTAAAATAGGCACAAAAGATTGTTTAGTGAACACTCTGATTTCGTTCATGTCCAACCTCTTCGAAATTTGGTAATAGTCTTTTCGAATCTTGTTCTTTTTACATAATTTTACATTACAAGAAAAGGAATTACATCATAAAGGAAAAGGAAAAAGAATTCATAAAAAAAGAATCTTTTTGCCAGAAACGAAATTATCTCGCCATGATACGAACGACAAATTTTTCCTCACACGTGTGAACTACGCCTCGAAAAACAACAGGACATCGTTTTCGATTTATTTATTTATTTATCGTTAAGTTGGCCGTTAATATTTCTTTGTCGCGTGTCAATAAATGGTTAAAAATGGATTTTCGATGATGGTCGAGTGATCCATGCACTCGTATCTCGATCACGTAAAATCGAGAGTCGATTCTCATATGTTTCGGTAACCGAGGATCGCCCGATCCACCATTGTTAATTAAATGCACGTTCAGTAATCGTTCAAAATGTCGCGTCACTGAAGAGTCGGGAATGACATATTCCATTTGAATTATAATCACAGTTTCAAAATTTTAAGTGTTTATGACGAACCTATTCAAATTGCATAATAAAACGTTAAAGTTCAAATCACAATGAAAGGAATTAGGGCATTAGTTTTGCAAGATCTTCCTCATGTTTTTCCTTCTAAAAGTTTTCAGGTGCGTATTATTATCGATAATTCGTCGATAAGGCTTACTTTAACCGTATAATATTTTTATTCCCCCGTCGTTCAATCGATGCATCGTCGATTGTACGTTGCATTAAAAATTGCATTAAAATTGTACAATCTAGTTCTATCCTATTTAATCCTTTATTAAATAATTAACTACACTCGATGAACACAAGATTTTTATCATCTAATCGTACGTGACACAACTCGCATAAATTCCATTAACCTCTTCACCCCTTCTTGTATCTCGTTATTAATTACCTTTCGTTGTTCGTTACGATAATACCATAATAATAAACGCATCTCTCTTTGCCCGTGAAATTTCTATCCTCTCTCTAAATTTTTAGTTTAGATTCGATGATGTTGGACAAAAAAGATAAAACGTGTTTGATCCGATTTGAAATGATCGATAGGCAAAAAAAAAAAAAAAAAAAAAAAAAAAAAAAAAAAAAAAAAAAAAAAAAAAACTGTTTCGTTTCTCCAGTTGAAAGAAAGAAAGAAAGAAAGATTTTAACGAAACGATTTAAATTTAAATCAGCGATCATCGACGCAACTTCACACAACAGCGTCATCCCGACGATTCTGGAGTTTCTTCGAGTTCTCTTCGAAGGAAGAAAACTGTCAGGATGCGAAGAAATGTCCCTCGTCCAAGGACATCGTTTCAACCTCGTTAATCTCAACGAACGAAGTCGATGAAGTATCGAAATCAGGGTCGCCTAATTTGATCCACAATATTTCAACGGTGCCGCCTTCCAATTTGAAGCGGTACAATTCCCAGTTCGATTTGAAATCGAAGACTCCGATAAGCTGTCTGAAGCTGCAGAACGTTTTGAAACAGGACAGTTTGGTGTCCCTGTTGGACGGGAATCCTGTTCCGAAAACGCTCAAATGGAAATTGAAGGGTTATAAAACCCTTCGAAACGAGCAGGCCGGTGACTTCGCATTTGTGCCAGGTGGAAAGTCTTACGATTTCGATATTCTCACCAAGGACGAGCAGCAAGAGCAGATGAACTCGAACAATTACGCGGACAGATCCCGGTCGAAGGCGAAGAATAGCGACGCGAAAAGTGATACGATATGCTTGACCACGAAATCTATAGAGAACGTGGAGGAAATATTTTGCAGGAATAAATTGATCGGCAAAGGCAATTCCATCATCGAGGGATCGAAGATCGACAAGAAGGGGACGGATATGGATAGCGCGGTGACCGCCTCTAATCAGAAGATATCCACCACGACGAAATTGCTGGTCGGCAATCCTAACACCCCTAAAAAGGAGGATATTAAATACCTGCCGATCTTGAAAACCGATTTTTCCACAAGCCAGATGAAGTATCAGACGCAACCGTCCGTACAGTTTTCCTCTAAACCGCCTAAGAATATCCCCAAACCTATGCCGCCGATAATGAAGAAGCAGGAGAACAGCGAGAAAAATTTGGTGGGTGAAGCGGAGGGGAAAAAGGTGTCGCAGGTTCCCGACCCATCGATAACGCCGATCGCCTCGAATCAAACGCCCTCTACGGAAGAGCAAAAGTTGAATTCGACCCCCGAGGTGAAAAAGGTGGATGTAACGATAAACGATAGTAGCACGTTTCAATTTGCAAAGGTGCCCGAACCCACGGTGCAGCAACAACATGAACTACAATTAAAACAACAACAGCAGCAGCAACAGCAGCAGCAGCAGCAGCAGCAACAACAGCAGCTACAGCAGCAGCAGCAGTCACAGCAACAACAGCAGCAGCAGCAGCAGCAACAACAACAACAACAACAAGAACAATTGCGACTACAGCAACAACTACAGCAACAGCAACAGGAACAGGAGAAACTACAATTAAAATTAAAACAGGAACAGGAACAACTACAATTAAAATTAAAACAGCAACAGGAACAGGAACAGCAACAGCAACAACAACGAGCGAAAGAAGCGGCGGAATCGACGGAAAAAGTGGCGGAGCCGGAAGTGATGGTGGAATCGCAAGTGAAGGAGGAAACGAATCCTCCGGAGGACGATATAATCAGTTCGAAATACGCGTTGGAAATGCTGAGAGCGGACGAAATGGAGGAGAATTTACAGGAGAGCAGATCGCAGGCGTATTTCGAAAGCGATAGAAACGTTTCTCAACACGCGTCGAGAGGCGTTGGGGAGATGGAAACGGCGATGGAAACGGCGACGGAAACGGCGAACGAAGGGGAGGTGAGCGAGCCGTCGAGAAGCGAACAGATGGAAATGAGAGAGGTGGAGAGTGATATGAACGATTCTGAACTTGCATCAACAAATCCTCAAGTTGAACCGACAAAGGGAACGGAAAACATGGAATCACCAAGCGAAGAATTGAAATTAAAATTTTTCAAATCTACTCCCGAAACAATCGAGAATAAACAAAGCGATCCAGAAACCACGTATTTCGCGCCACGAAAGTCGAACAGCAGCAGGCCTGCCTTCCAATCCATGGAGAAACCAATCATGAACATAGCCAGCCCTTACGAGAACGAGCCTCGTGTTCCAACCTCGCCTTGTGCCGCGACACAGGCTAAATTGTTGCGGGCCAACTCGGCCAAGAATTCTCAGGGGTCGGAGATGGGCGGTGGTAAAGGGTCCTCCATGGCTGGAAACTCTGGGAGGGGATCGCGGAAACCACCGGCCTCCTATCCCCCGTTCACGAATAGGAGATCGGCTTCCAACAGTTCCAACTGTTTGACCAAAAAATTGCCGTTCGCCAGGGAATCGGAGAACGGGCTGCGCGCGATCATGAACACGAGGAATCCCTCGTCCAATATATCCACTTCCACTATGAATTTACGGAGCAAGAATAAGGAGAACCAGAATTTGAAGAACCGGAAAGACAAGAAGTGCAACAAGAAGGAGTGCAAGCGTTACTGTTGTCCGGCGCTACAAACACCGACAGATTGCGATTACACCAAGTTTCAATGCCCGAACACGAAACACATCGTCAACGCTACCAAAATGGTCCATTACGATCCAACCTGTTTGCCGCAAGAAGACGAGGAGATACGAGAGTTTTGTACCGATCCGAGGTCGCAAAAGAAGTGTAACAGAGACAATAACAGGTAACGGGGAGGGAGAGTTGTGTAACTCTTGCTTTATTATCCATCTGCGTAAAAGAACAATTTTTGCATTTTTATGTTTTTGTACTTTTTAAACTCTAAACGTTCTTTTATTATTATTATTTTTCGTTACTTTTTTTCCCATTTTATTTGATATTTTTTGTATTTTTTAAATGTTTTTTCCCATTCTTTTTTCATTTTTCTCTTTTTTCTTTTTTTTGTAAACTCGAAACGTACCAATACCTAGATAAAATCGATCGTTTCGAGTTCACGAATCTCCAATGAATTTTTTTTTCTCGGAAATTGATGAAACGAACTATTGCAAGTTTTATTTTATTATAAAAAAAAAATAATTAAATTGGACAATAATTAAACAAAAAAATAGTATTATATAGTATCTCTGATACTATATATAAAATTTTTTTCCGCGAATCTTTTTCATCTATACATTTAATTTTTAAATTTTACATACGTACAAACGAATGGATCGTGTCGAATAACGATTGGCGAAAACATATATATATATATATAGGAATCCGAATCGAAGTAGACGCGACAATTCCTATCCTGGAAGGAGGAGTCGAAACGAAAGGAGTTCGACAACGACAAATTCGGACAGCACAAACAGAGGTACCGAGTTCTGCACGAAACCGAGAAGCAAAGACGTGAACAGAGACACGAACAGAGACGTGAACAGACGGTCGACAAGGGACGACAGTGGGAGCAGAAATTCGGCGAAATTCGGGAAAAGGAATTTCACTAATTCCGCTTACATCAGACGGCCGAAAGCTATGAAAAGCGTGAAACGATTTTCCTCGTTGCCAGCCTTTGCCATCCCCCTGCTTGGAGCGAAGGAGAGCAGAGAAGTGAGCCAAAAGATATTGATCTCGCCCTCGAAATGCAATTTCTCGAAATGCAAGAGGAACGACGACAGGACAAGGTGTAAACAGAACAGGTGCAAAAGGCAGACGAACAAGTGTAAAGTGCAGGGCGATAGGAAAGGAGAGGATAATTGCAAAAAAGTGAAGGGTTCCTGCGACAATAATAGCAATGCTTGCAAGAGGCAGACTTGTAAGAGGGAGTCTAGGAAGGATACCGATGCGTGCCAGAGGGTGAAACCTGTCCTCTGCGACGATAACGAAGAAAATTCTTGCAAAAGACCTACGAAGGTGGTGGACGATCCTTGCAAGACGGTGAGGTCACGAGGATCTAAGAAGAAGGATGATTCTTCTAAAAAGGTAAGGTCAAGTTACGACACAAATAATAATCCTTGTAAAAAGACTTCAGGGAAATTGAGTTGCAGTAGTATAACCATGATCAAGGAGGGTCAGTATGGCACTAAGAATACGAACACTTTAAACATATGCGGCAAAAAGAGGGAACAAATGTGCAAAGGTGACCAATTTTTCCATAAATTATTCTCAACTTCTCTGTTGATTCTTGAATTTTTCGGTGTACGGATACATAAAAATACTCATCGTATTTATTTTTTTTGCAAACGTCTGTTTGCAAAATTTTATGATTAAGAGATAATTAAATTTTTCAATTTTTTTTTTTTTTTTTGTTTTTAAATATTCGATCGATTTAAGAAAAGTATATCGACATTAGCAATTTTTCGTTTTTTAAGAATAAGATAAATTTTGTTTTTGTTGCAAATATTTTATTTAATTATATTAAATTTGGAGAAATTTCCTGTTCATTTATGGCTATAGATAGGAAAAAAACGATAATCCCAGAAAGCGAAAAAGCAAAAGAATCTGCGAAAGAAAGGGTGGACAGAGAACGAAGAGAGATCGAGGAGTGCAAGAAAGATATAATGCCGAAAAAGAGAAAGGATGAGAAAAAAGTGGTATCCGGTTTAGAACGTGTTATCAGTCCGTGTAGAGAGCAATTGAAGAAGAGAGACATGAAATTTTCAAACTTAAAATTTCCCTTGAATCTTATAAGCAGTTTGCAAGATTCCAAATTACTGAACGATCGATTGAGGAAATTTTCCAACGAGGAACCCTATGAGAACAATGATGTCGTTTGGAATGATTTGGTACCGGAAAAGAAATTCTGGATTTTCCACGAAGACTTGAACTACCCGGATGTACCTGTTTTAAAAGAAAATGTTGACGATATGCCAGAAGCAGATGATGATGATAGTGTTAGCAATACGTGGTTCTTTTCGTGGTTCAACGGCTGTCAATAATTAAAATATACTGTCAATAACAAAGAAAGTGAATGGTATATAATTTATTTTTAAAGTTCTACGCTTTTTCGTGTAGTCCCGGGAGTAGTTTATTTAAAAAAAAAAAAAAAAATGATAAAATATATGTAAATTAAGAATTGATTATATAGAGTATAGATCAACTGTTTTTATATCGAATATAACGAAATGAAGAACATAATAAATTATATTTTTTCATTCTTTATTAGAACCATTTATAAAATTCCACTTCGCTGTCAATCAATTACGAAAATTGTCTTCCTATTTCGTTTTTTAAAATTAAATATATATTTCAAACATGTATATATCTTAAATATTTTTTAAAAAATATTTATATTCTCCTTAGTTAAAATATTAACGTTCCAATATATAATATTTCAAGCTATGTAAAATTGCCAACTATGTAAAATTGCCTTTACCTTTCAAACGAATTTATAAATTAGAAACAATCTTATTTAATTTATTTATTCCAAAGCAAAAAGATAAAATCGACGAGATCTCCAATTTTTCTATATCGTTTCAAATATTACGTGAGACATTTTATCTAAGGAGCGTTATTAAATATTTATATATGCATACTGTGGATGTTTACAAAAATTTTTTCCAACACCAAAAAAATAATCCCGTACATTTCAATAAAATTTCTGTTCTCAACTCTCAAACGTACCTTCTAATTGTCCCACGAACTGAACCACTCGGCTTTCTAGTCTACCATCATCGAGTAAATGATCGAGGAACGCGTAAGTACTTATTACAATGCGCATAGTTACCCAGTCGAAGATAGTCGACGCTCGAACGAACGATCTCCGGGGGTCGAAAGCGGCAAACTTCGTCCCCGAATGAATTCGTGTGTCGCGGCCAGTTACGTGAGACGTCTTTGTTCGAGGAAAACGAGCAACCACGGCAGAGGCGTGCACGTGAATGGAGGGTTAGCAATTATGGGTTATTCAGATCTCGCCACGGGATACCCAGGGTGCCGTCACCATGGAATTTTTCGTACGTACGTATATACCTGGCGCCTCTTCGCGTTGTGCCCCCCTTTTTTACGTTGTGCGCACATGGTGGACGTTGCGTTGCGAAAGAGAGAAAAGGAGAGAGAGTGAACGAAGAAAAAGAAAGTAAAAAGAGAGAGAGAAAGAGAGGAGAGGAGAGGAGAGAAATACAAGAGGAGGAAGAAAAGGATGGAGAGAAAGAGGGAGAAGCGACGGTGTGCTGTCGAGGGTGAAAGAGAAAAAGAGAGGAAAAATGAGAGACAGAGAGAGAGAGAGAAAGAGAGAAAAGCGTGAGGACGTCTCTGCGGGGATTCTCGCGCCCTGCCACTTATGGGAACGTGATACGAGCTTTTCGTTGGATGCTCTCTTGCGTTTTCGCATTGTTACGCAACCGCGTCGTCCTTCCTTCACGTTCTACACTTCCCTCCTCTTTTTTTTTCTCTTTCTCCTCTCTTCTTCTTTTTCTCGTATCTTGCCTCTTCGCCTTCTCTCTACAAAGAGAATCGATGTCAATGCGAAAACGTTTTGTGTCGGCTTCCGTCTTGTCCCACGAGACATCAAAAATTTGTGTTTTTATGCTGCTGGAGACTGACACTTCCCCTTCCTTTTCAATGAGGAATAATTACGTTTGGATCTTTAGACGGTTCGATTTTAACTCAATTATGATAATAATCGTTTGTCTCGTTTACTTAATCATTGGATTATAAGTACGTTAATTGTGATTATAAGTTTGTAGAATGGTGGAATTTGATGAAATTGATATGGACAAGTCAAATTCAAGATGTTTGAAATATTATCTCATAGCCGTTATCTATGATAAATCGGGTATGTATAATTAATATGATTTTCTATAGAATCGAAATGATATGGTAAAAAATATTTATCGATAGATAAATAAATAAAGATTGAAATAGGTTACAGCAAAGTATAAGGATTCGAAGATTAATTTTCTTAAATATTTTAGGTTGAAATGAAAGATAAGCGGCACGTGACACAGAAATTATTCTTAACACGGCCGCGGATATTTTTGAACAAGTTGTCATCGAGAAGATCGAACGGTTGATTTCACGGGGCGAGGAGAACCGTAAGCATCTAGACGTCACATTATGATGTCAACGACTTCTTCCTGGACCACAAACCGCTTCGACCGTATGTCCAGGATGAATGGTGACGCCACGGGTGGCACCCCGTCGGAGAGAACCGCATACAACCACTGTAAATGTGTCAATTTCTGCAGGATCATTCGAATCCAGATGAGAATCTCCACTATCAGGCAATTCTTGCTCTTACTTATTTATATAATGTGCTATTATCTTATCTGACAGACTTCGTGTTAAAAAATTCCAGGACAATCTGAAAGATAACAAATTGTTGGCTATCGAATTACTCAAAATATATCAACTCTAATGAAGCACGTCATAAAGAGAGAAAGAGATGAAAGACATTAGTAATTTTATCCGTTAAGATTATTTATTTCTTGAGGAAAACAATTAAATTTTATTCCATAATATTGAAGCATAAAACAAAAAAATAAATTATTCTATGTGTAAAATTTTATAGTGATTGGTCATCAAATAATGGAAAGAAACAACTGTGAAATTACAATCACTATGAAAAAATAGAACTTTCATCATATATTAGAAATCATTCCTGTAAACTTTTTCTATTGAAATTTGAAAAATATTTCTAGTTTTTTTTTTTTTTTTTAATAACCATCAAAAGTGGTTCATAGAAGCAGTGAAAGAAGAACAGAAGGATTTGCCACGATAACAAGCTTTGAAAAACGTCCCATGTCAATCAGAAAAGACGGAAAACGGTGTGTGCAAAACAAACGGCGTGTTCGTTTCGTTCGAACAAGGCTTTTGAGCCAGGATATACCAAGAAATTTGGTCGGCATGCATTATTTTAGGGAACGAAGCCTTGTTTTTACAAAAGTCCTTGTAGTCTGAGAAAACAAGATGTCCTTTTGTCCACCACCATACGATCCATACCATACGATCTTTCTCAAAAACGAAGATTGGTCAAGTTTTTAAAACGTTTATATTTAAAAGTCTTAAAAAAAAATATATATATATATATATATAAAGTATATTTCGTAATAAAAAGAATATTTTAAACATTTTATTCATTAAAGTGAAACATTTATTCTCAATTAAAATATTTAATTTTTTCATTCACTTATAGCAAATATTCTGTATTTTGTATATTTTGTCGTCAGCATTAATCTGATATTATATTAATGTCAATATTACTTCGAGAGAGAATCATTTATTTCATTAACGATGTGAACGTGACAATAAAAACGTAAAAATATTTCGGTGAAAATTTGTGAGGTTATGTAAATCGCGGTATTGCATCAAACAAATCGGTCAATGTTTTTCATTTTCTTTGTGAATATACACAGTAAGGCTTTATTTCCATGAAATTTATTGAAAGAAAAACTCGATTGTAAAATATTTCATTTCAATTTCTGTTTAATGTAAATGGAAAACAGTTATTAACGTCAATTGCTTTATCTCGAACAAGTTCAATTCAGTCACTGAAAAATCGATGACACTCATTTGTGAAAATATCCTGAGAGAAGAGCAGAAAGTATTTAAAAACAGAAATTAAATAAATCATGGCAATTTATTATATTTAGATTTCATAAATATATCTATTATTTTTAAATCGACATATTATACTATATTATATCAATACAAAAATTACTCAAAATAATGAAAATAAAAACATATGTAAAAATAGGTTAGATTCCTTCACGTACGAATACTGATTTATCGAATTTAACAATGTTAGATCAATATTTTCTTTTTTAACCATTTATAGCTCGATATGATAATTTGAAATATTTATGAATAAAAGGTAAGTGTTTAAATATTGTTTCCAAATTATAGTTATAATAACATCACGCGTAAAATTCACTAAATGCTGATAACGATACACCAATAAATTACTAGGTTTTTACATCGAGTGAGATACGTATTCATAGAAGATAATTAAATAGTTGGCCAATCGTAGAATTTAACGAGTTATGTGAAAGTAACTGAAATATGCTCGTTCTGGGATGGATTCGTCCGATTTACTTGCCTGTCTCTTTAACTATGTTCATATTAAAGAAAGAAAGGAATACAAGTCGGGGGTGTAATGAGATTTATTTATTACCAAACGAAGCTCGACCAATGATGAGACGAGATGGTGGTCGTAGCCATGCCCAACAGCCAATGAGAAAACACATCGACTAGCTGTCAGTCCGACCACGCCCCAGCCAATCGGCGCTTAGCTGCGCATGACAGAGTGGCTCG